CCCCCCCTTCTGCCTCTCTTTGGGAACCGCACAGCCACATCAAGGGCATAGCCAAATGCAAGGCCAGGGATATCGCCGCAATGCCGCTTCCTACTCATCCGCGGCAATGCGGGGCTCACAGGCTACACAAACGACCACCAGCGTGATTGACAATGAAGCACTCAAGTTCCTCATAGAAAGCACAAAAGTCGAAGGAGTTCCTATGACTGAAATGATTCCCAACCCTCAGGGCAAAGAAGAAGAGGTTGTAGTATGGAAATACCCAGAAGAGAAAGTGGCAGAACTGGATGAGTTTCACGAAAAGCATGGGGTCATCTTCAATTTTGCAGGAAATGGAGCCGATCTCATGCCAGAAGAAAAACGAAAATGGGTTATTGCAGCGATAAAGAAAAAGGAAAAACTGAAAAATGTCAAAGAAGCTTTCTCTTTGCAAAGCCTGGGTCGTAACACGATACTGGTCGTGTTCAATCATGAGCACCATGCTCGAGCTGCAGCTGAAATGAGATCAAGGAACTGCAATGGCTCAGTATGCACAATAACAGCGTGGAAAAAGCAAACGAACCAACGACCGAACCCGACCTTTACTGTATCGTACAAACAAACGCTGATGAAAGAACATTTTTGGGTGCAATTTGACAGGATCCAACCGGGGTTTCATGGACTGGTGGTGGATAGACTGGAGAAGCAGTACCCAGCTAACAGAATCCTCAAGTGGATTCTGCCGACACCGGAATTCCTAGCGCCCCATTGTGGATCCATGACGACTATTTTGGAAGTGAAAACGGACGATCCTCCGGTGTTCCCACTAACATGGTCACTCGCGATCCAGGAAAGGGAACTACTTATTGAAATTTCCACAAAGACCTCGCCGATCTGCTTCAGATGCAGAGGACGAGTCCACATGGGAACCGACCCAAACTGTCCCAAATTCCCCGCGAATCAGAAAGAAAGGAAGCTCATGCCCAATATGTTGGTTGAGGTTGAAGAAGCTCCAGGCACTTGGTTTATTGTGGATCCTACCTTTGACGGGTGGGTATTCGATGACAATCTGGAAGATCCGGATTGGATCTGGCACTGCTCGGATAAGGAACCCACAACCAAGAAGCCGGACATCTTTCCCCCTGCTGACAGCAGATGGCAAAAAATGGCAACAGGGAAAGAAGCTGGCAATCCCACGAAGATCAGCACCATCCCCCTGAATGACTCCCGGATCATAAGGGAGGAGAAAGCAAGGGAAGACTTGCTTTGGGTCTTGGATTCAGTGAGAGATCAGGCAGAACAGGAGTACGCCAAGGAACCAGAAAAGTTTCAGAAAAAAACACAGGAAATAATGGAAAATAGAGAGAAGGACGAAAAAAAAAAGGAGGAAGAGCAGAAATTGACCAATCAGCAAACAGAGAACAAGCGCACTATGGACAACAGCCCCAACCGCGAAAGAGGACAATCGGACTCCAAGAGGAGGAAAGCTGACAAGACGGATGGGGCTCAAACTGAGGAGGACATTATGACAAACCCGCAGGCTACTGCAACCTCCAACATGGAGAAGGACGCAGACTCCGCTATGGATGAAGAAGACAGTGAGGATAGCAAGAGCTCATGCGGCTCGGCTACCATCAACGATCAGGCATCCMCTCCCAACARATYTCTTCAATGGCTACGTGAGTATATTGAAAAGGTCAARAGGGAAAGGGAACACCTCTTCAACATCCGGACAGCSTRCYTGAAACAYAYAGAGAGGAATCAAAAACAAGGCACGGTGGCTGGTATTCAAAAGTCAGTAAACAACTATGAACTGCTCAAACAAGAGTTCTCTGAGTACGCCGCCTTCAGGTATGCAGAAAAAAAAAGAAACAGAGAACAGGGAAAGCCGGGCTCTGAGGAAATAAATAAGGACTCAGATGAATCGTTCCARGACYTGCGCCCAAAGAARKGGAAAACCATCAAWGCACAAAARAAMGAKGACCAGAAGTCYGGCYAGARTGAGAGCACAAGGAAGACAGAGCGCACTGAGCTTGAAGTGGACCTTGCTGTCATTGAGGCTCAAACAGAAAAATTGAAGAAACTTAACGCTGCGTATGAACCAGAATTCACATCTTTGCAGCATATAGCTGACGGCAAAGCCCCTCATGTGGTGCAACAAGCCAAATCCACCAGACTCACCATGATGGGTGTGCGGCCTCTCCTAGCTGCGAGGTATGTCGAGGAAACAGGTGATTGGCAGGTGGCCACAGACGTCTTCTTTGCAATCCCACATTTCGAAGAGGGACAGAATCTGATGGCAGTAATTCGTGAAACAATAATTGTCACTTGCCCACTAGGAGTCTACATACCCGAAGGATCAGATGATTTCACCGGGTCACATGAGACACTTTCGCAACATGAGGATCAGCAAAATACCATATCTGATCCAGGTGAATCGAGGCAGACTTCTTTCACTCCGCTGATTGCCAAAATGCCTGTGAACACAAGACTCAAAAGGGGTATGATGTGGAGGTCCTGGCGTACAGTGACTGCAATCCCGTACAGCGTGCTTTCAGGATTGGGGATCCCGGAGGAGCTGGCTGCAGCGTCGATGGCTGACATCCTCAGGAAGGGCACATTGGACGGCGATGCTGACCTGGAATCCAGAGCCTTTGCGCTGGATTTGGAGTGCTTTTACAGAGACGAATTCCAGGAGGAGGACATGGACGCCTGGGCTGGCGATGAGCGCACAGACCAGGACCCCATGGGATCCCCGGGGAAACAGGTCAGCGGTAGCATAGGGGAAGACAAGTTGGACGACCTTGCAAAGGAGTCCCACTCGGTACCACCAAAGGCGTCCCCGAAGACAAAAATGGACAAAGACAAGCCTCCCACCTAGGATATCGGGGCTGAACACATCAATGATACTCAATAGGGGCCCCCGATGGAGGACTTCAGGAACAAAGCAAACCATCAGGCCCCCAAGCCTAATTGGAGGGCACAAGGTATAGTCATCCGCAGCTGGAATGTGAATGGTCTAGGCAACGTCCTCAACAAAGAAAACAAATTTAATGACATAATCAAGGGTCTCAAACAGGATAATAATAAATTAGCGGACGTCATAATGCTTCAAGAAACGCACTTGACGAATCATGTTGAACACCAGAAACTACGAAAAAT